GACACTCTATCAAAAAGTGTGAAAGTTTATAATCTAGCAAAGACTATGAGAATCAATAGTCTATCAAAAATAACAATTAATAATATATCAAAGATTGTAAAAACCTGCAAATAAATTATCCTGTCCACTTGTGAGATATTTTTTTTTTTTTTTTTTTCATCGAACACCGGCTGTGAATTCCAGTGGAAGGTCAGGTAATCGTCCGCTTGGACTTTTGGCTTTCACCTGGGCCTGATTTTTGCGTGTACAACCGTTTTTTATTTCCCTGCCTCATGGGCAGAAAATTTTTTTTGTGTGTGTGTGTGTGTGTGTGTGTTAAAATTTGATAATGTATTAGATATCAAGGGCAGTGATGATCTATACAATATCAATGGATCAGTAAGATACCAAAGCACGTGACAATCAATAAGATATTAAAGACTCTGATGATCACTATGATATCAAAGATTGTGATGATCAAAACAAAGGTTAAGACAATCAATAAATATTTAAAAAATTTGACACTATCAATAAGATTATCAGATACTGTGCAATCTTTTAAGCCAAGAACATTAACAGATTAATTGATGCCAGGTTCTTACCGAAGCTGCCGGATTTGAAGCATCTGTTTTGGGCTGCACTACTGACTTCCACTGGTAAATCTGCTTGACTTTCTTCTTAACTTTCCCACTTTTCTTCTTGCCTCTCTTGTTTTTCTCCCATCCTTTTGTCTTGTGATCAGCATGTGCATTCTGGTCAGCCTAATAAATGTGGCATACTGATATACAGTTTTATAATAAACAGTAGATTTTAAAACCAATAATTTTCTAGCTGATTTATTATTTTAATTAAACATTACATTTTAGAACAAATTCTTTTTGGCGTTCACCAGCTGTAAACTGGAGGAAAGTTCTAGTTGTTCATCCACTTCTGGACTGCAGTCCTATTCCAGAACCTGAGTGTAGCGTGTGCATCCGTTTGACAGATAAGGTTTAATTAACATGCAAACTTAACCAATTACATTCAAGCTGATACAGTTTTAATTAAAGGTAAACTTTGCAACAAATAAACTCAATATTGATCCAGTTTACAATTACATACAACAAGGAGAAGGAGACAAAGTTCTTTGGTCATGTGATGAGACGAGCACTGGAGACTATCGTGACGACATGAAAGATCACTGGTAGAAGAGGCAAAGGAAGACCAAGAGAACGGAAGTCGCATGGTTTAAGACTGGCAAGGAGGAATATCATCAGTGGGACTGATCCAGAACACCAAAGGCAGAGATCTGTGAAGATGCATGATGAACACCTAAGCCAGCTGGCAAGGCATCTGATGATGATGATGATTCTCTAGCTCCCTACAATACAACCAGCTGTGGCTATGCAAACTGGCACACCTGCTGGCCCCATCATGGGATATTTGAATCCCCAAAGAGGCACACATGTACAAGATTATACAGCCTGGATTTTCAGGGTGAACCGACCTTAAAAAACAAAAAATTACCAGTAAATGTTTAGGACACTAACAGTAAATATTAGATGTTCTGCGATTAACAAAAATGTATCTTATTCTTCTGCGTTCATCTTTAAGCGGACGGTTGGCATGTGGGGTTCTGGTTTACAGCCCAAACATCAAATTTCAGCAAATCCTTGATAAGTTGTCATTTACAACATGACTACTAAAAATAGTAGGCCTGTTTTTTTCTTCTCCCAAAAATTGGGTCCCTAGGTAGGTAGATAGATAAGATGTACCCCACCAGGACATCACACAAGCGATAAACGCCTGGTGACACAAAGTGCCACCATGCGGATGAGGATCACCTGTGGAGAGGTCCCGGAAACTCCATTCAGCCGTTAGGCCACATTTATGGCCCGGTTATTTTTAGGCACAAGCCGAGGTAGGGCTTTAAAATAACTAAAAATTGCATCCCCCATGGGGACGACTCAAAAATATGATAGAGTTCCTGAACCCCTTAAAGGGAATTAATCAAATTGTTAGAAAAAAAAAAATTTATTGCACAATAGTTTTTACTTATTAAAAAAAAAAATAAAGAATCATTTTTGACATCTTACCTGTTTTTCATCAGTCTCATCCTCGTCATGTTCCCTTTCTTCAGCTTCTTCCTCTTTTCCTGTCACAGCTTCTATGTGATCTCCCATCTCCTCCCCGAAACAAGGCAGGAGTATTTGTTTCTCAAAATTGTCTCCCATGTCTTTCCTCACCAAGTTCACCGTAACTGTAACGATGGAGCCCACTGTGATAGTTGTGTCTTCTTCATCTAGAACTATTATACGCATAATGAGATACAATTAGTTAATGAAAAAAGAAATATGGACAGTGACAAACAAACAAACAAATTACTTATCAACTACATTCATTCACAGCAGCCGCATTTTGGTTAAATTCTTGACTGCCAGTCCAAAGGTTTAAGAGTAGACCAGGGCCATTCAACCAAGTTTGCTGTGGGGCCAGACTTAGGGAAATTGAGATCGTCGCAGGTTAGAAGACCAAGCCCCAGCATAGAAAGAACATCAATACAGTACAGCTGGCAGGTAATCCGCGGGCCATTTGCTAGGCCTCTGCGGGCCACATTTGGCACGCAGGCTGCCAGTTGAAGTAGACCACTGAGCTGACCACACAAAAATGGTAGACACATTCTGCTTTTTATGGACATCTTTATAAAGTTTGCTCTCTAGTCAGTTCACGGTCCTCCATTCACAAGATTCTGCCTTCCTAGACAGTGCACCACTGCAATAAAAACACGGTAGGAGCTGCCAAATCTGTCGTTCATCAACAACAGAGCACAACCACAATACACTCTGATCTCACATACAAAAAACGTATCCTGCGTTAGAACGCGCACAAAATAGCAGCAATCCACAACAAGAGAACGGAACAATCCAAGAAATTACACAGCCACTGGAAAAAAAAAAACCACAGGCGCTAATTACCATTTTGAAAACTGAAGTGAGTCTCTCCCCTTTGGGATCCAGGGTTGCATTTTGGAGGAGGGGGGTGGGGGGGGGGGGGGGGGGGGGAATAGACCCAGTCCACACCTAACAAGCATGTCGTCGAAGGCGATTAACTGATTAACTAGGGATGTTTCCTTCAAAGTGAGAATGCATCTGCCTGAGTTGCGTGCACGTCCATTTAAATAAATCTGATTTAATTGTATGCAGATGGTCAGTTCCCTGCCTCTCAGCGATGCACTCCAACTTCGAAGGAAGCCCCAATTAGGAGACTCTTATGACATGCTTGTTGGGGAGGCAGTGGGTCTATTCTTGTTTTGCCCACAATGGGACCCCGGAACCCTTCTTCTTCTTCGTCTCTTCCACCATTTACCTTAGCGAGGTGTTGGGGGGGAAAGGGGGGGGGGGAGATGTAAGGATTTTTGTGTGTTTTTCCAATGCAATGTACAAGGTGGTGTACATTTCTGTTAGGTTGCTCCTGATGGTGTCGTTCAATATCTTGCGTGGTCTTCCCCTTGCTCTGTGTTTATTATATTTCTTCAGCGTGGCTCTCTGTGGCAGTTGGCACCAGGGCTTTCTCGTCAGGTGGCCAAACGATCTCATTTGTTATTCTTTAATGAAGTGTATGACTGGAACCCAAAGGGGGAGAAATTACTTATAACCATGAGAGCCGCCGTACTGAAATGACTAAATACTTGACTGCTAGCGCAAAGGTCTAGGGTTCAAATCTGCACAGGGGCAGATTTTTTCAACACTGACATTATCCTATGGAAAATAAAGTTGGCCAGCATGATGTTGACCACAAGTACCAACTGGCCTATGAAAATATAGGTCGAGCATTATATGCATGATGTGCCAAAGACATACAAGGGTCCTTTTGTTTAATTATTAAATACAAACATGGGGTTATGGGTTATGTCTTACAGGTCATCAAAGAACAACAAATGAAGTGGTTTGGACACCTAACAAGAATGCCCTGGTACTATCTGCCACAGCGAGCCACATTAAAACCTTACAACGGGTATAGAGCGAGTGGAAGACCTCGGAAAATATGGAGTGATGGCATTAAGAACAGCCTTACAGAAATGAACATCAGTCTTAATAGTGCTCTTGACAGAGCTCATCAACGAACATTACATCTCCCAGGTGACACTTCGATGAGGTACATGGTGGAAGAGAAGAAGAAGAAGAAGAAGAAGAAGATGGGGCCCCATTTGGAGGGGGCAATAAACCCAACATCCACTAACAAACATGTTTTAAAAGGTGATTAATTAAGGATTTTTTCTTTGAAGAGTGGCAGCGTCTGAGAGGGGAGTACAAACAAGCCAGATCTGTAAAACAGATCTGCACACAAATTTCAAGTTGGAACAAGATTAAAGAGCCCCCACCCCTATCTTCCAACAAGTGTCATAAAATACAATTAACTGGGAGTTTGCTAAAATCAGATCCATTGGGCTAACAGGTGCAGACATCACAGCCTAGCTGTAAACCATAACATGCCAACTGCTCTTCTAAAGGCAAATACACAAAAATAAGAAAGAAGCAGACAAAAAAGAGGAAGAGAGAAGAATATATCTTGCCGCACAAATAAAATGCAACTTATAAGCTCTGGATGTAACAGAAAAGTTCTACTGTATCCTTGTCTATGCGATTCACCTTCAGTTTTGATATTCATTTCCACATATGGCATTTTGGCACACACTGAGATCACATCCAGGTACTCGCTGTCGGAAAGGCTCCTCAGCATTAGCCGTCTGTCTTCATCTTTCATATTCACCAAGTCACGATGTGACGAATGTCCCGCTAACATGCAAAATAGAAAGCAAAAACTGTAGCAGCTGTAAAGAAGAAAAGTAATGACAATTACTGCAATGTTAAAAAAAATTATCAGTGATACTGTGGTCCGAACACAAGTGTCCAGCCTCCAATAGTGCATGCTGGCTCAGCAGTCATATGTTCTGAATCCCCAAAGAGGTGATGAGTTTATTCTTTAAACTCAGTCCTGTTCCCCTTTCCCAGCCCATCTACACACTACCTGACCTTTCTTTCATATTTTCTCAGACTCTTCTATTATCGCAGGGGTGTCATGTTGTCTTCCCTACGATAACATCAGCGATGTTGCATGTTCTATGTTACACAACATAACAGCTTTCAACGGCCCCAGAACATGTAGAACCCCCCCCCACCACTTAGCCTAGGTCACATGAGAAAGACTCTTTTCGAAAAAAGCAAGACAACGTGACATCCTTCTGATCTACATCAGAATGAGAAAGTGTGTAGATGGGCTGGGAAACCTGAACAGGTCCTTAAATTCTTCTTCTTCTTCTTAGCATTCAGCAGCTGAATCCTCCAGTTGAAAGTTCTGGTTGTACGTCTACTTTTGGATTTTAGTCTTCTTTCCGCATCTGTGTTTTGCATGCACATCCATTTGACAATCTGGCATATTTGTAAGCATACTGTTGGTACAATTTTTGGGAAGGGGCGGTAAGGCCATTCTTTCTTTTTTTCGAAAAAATTAGGTATGCGGCGTCAGTGGCTTAGGTATTGTGAGTCCGACTCGTAATTCCAACGTACTGTGATCAAAACCCACGGCTGGCTGCGTGGGTTTGTACCATGGTACGAGGTCGACCCAGCCTAAAATGAGCACCAGGATATATGTCCTGAGGAAGTAAAGGCGACCGACGTATTGCTGACCACATTGCCCACATAGTGCCGATTGGTCTGTAAAAATACAACCCACAATCCCATATGCCCGATGCATCTAAGGGACCCAAAGGGGCGTGAAAAGGGATCTTTACTTTAAAAAAAAATTTTTTTTTTACTTTTTTAAAATAAGGTCCAGAAACCCATTGCAGGATCTGGACTCAAAGGTCAATCCAGTCTTAAATGGGTAGTAGGAAATGTTCTGGGCAGTTAGGCCATAATATTAACCACACAACCTCATCAAATGGGTTCTAGGGACTCAACTTGGGAGGGGGGGAAAAAAAGAATGGGTCCAATACCCCATAACAACTATGTCGTAAAAGAACTAATCTGGGGCTTGATGTGTTGCCTTATCTGATGGTAGTTTTGATACATGTCCAAACCACCTGATCTTTTGTCTCTCTGATGCAGTTTAGCATCAACTTCGCAGATCTTTTGTCTCTTGATGCAGTTTAGCATCAACTTCGCTGATCTTTTGTCTCTTGATGCAGTTTAGCATCAACTTCGCCGATCTTTTGTCTCTTGATGCAGTTTAGCATCAACTTCGCTGATCTTTTGTCTCTTGATGCAGTTTAGCATCAACTTCGCTGATCTTTTGTCTCTTGATGCAGTTTAGCATCAACTTCGCTGATCTTTTGTCTCTTGATGCAGTTTAGCACTGGTTTCATCCCAACTTCTTTCCTGATTATCATCATTTCTGATCCTGTCTCTTCTGACGACACTTAGGATTCAACGTAGACGAATCTTTCTACTTGACAAAATAGGTAATGACCTGAATCGTTTGGCCAGTACCGCCTAATCAAAACAAGAACAGAGATCTGTCTGAACATGGACTGTGACAGTGTGAGACTGCCCACGCTAATCCTCATGGCATGTGATGATGATGACATCAAGAGGAATATATACACACACACACATATGTATTAACCATTCTGCCCTGTATACATTGTTTTTTTTAGAAAATTACCTTTTTTCAGATATGAAACACTACTTTAAGGACACAGCCACAGAGAGCAAAGTGATGTCTCATAAATGTATTATGTCATGAAGATCACACCAATTTTTTTTGCCCCAAAAAATTTTAAAACAAATATTTTTTTCAACTTTAATAACACTCATCATGACTACACACTAAAGAGTTGCAACCAGAACCAAATCTGTTATATAGGCATGTTGGGCACAGCCCAATGACGTCATATCTAAAATCGGTAAGACATGGTGAGATCAAATTAGCGCTACATCACGTTGCACAAACGGTAAAATTAGCATACCTTGCGTGTAGTAAAATGCCGCAGCATTTCAGCAGTAATATGAGGTAGTTGCTGCAATGGGCTGGACTTTTCATCTAGCGCCTGGACAACCATCTGACTCAGTTTCATTATATTCTCAACCGTCTCCAGGCGGGGTGGCTGGCTTGCTGGAAGCAGAGAACCAAACAGGCATTTCAAACAGTCCCAGAATATGTTATGCTAAGCCCGTTACATCTTTATCTTATAGAACACTTAATGTTTTGGAGACAGAAAAAGGCTAATCAACTCTTTAAGGCCCAAGCAACGGTGTGAGCGTTGTTTGAAAAGTTCTGTTTTGCCCAAACAACGCTGTCATCGTCAATCATGTGTCCCGTACATTTTGCTTCGCAAACGCCTCCATATTAGTTTCGAATGTTCGGAGGTACGATTAAACTATTCAGGGAGTTACTCTGCTGAAATCCTTTTAGATTCATTTTCTAGCCCAAACTACACATGCAAAATTTGATAGGATTAACAGTGTAATTTTTTTCAACAGTTCATTTTATAAGTTTGTTTTCGAGTTCCATGAATACCAATGTTCCAAGCACAAGTACAGGTCGCAGAATGGGACTTTCTGCGGCCGAAGCTCTTGAATTGTTTCAGTCAGATGTTTTTAATTCTGATAATGATAATGAAAATTTAGATTTTTCGGAAAGTGATTTGGACGGGGCATTTTAACCAGTGAAGCTGAGCGATCAGCTGTTCTGAATATAGTGATTCTGATGAATTTATTACACAGAAAATGTCCCATTTTTACCGTATTTATGGTGTAAGAGAAGGAAAGTGCTCTAAACAAAGAGATTGTACTATACTATGGCTAAGCTACATTAAAATCATCGCAGTTATAGTCTGTATATAACTGTACAAAGTAAACAGTAAATAGCGAGTGTATGCAATGGCTCATTTTTCGGCCATTTTTTCTCTGAATTTTTTCTCAGCACTCTGTGAAAACTAAGAGCTCCTGAGTGCTAAACTAACCTAGAAACTTATCATAACTTTGGAATTTGTTAGGAAATTGAACAAACTGTGAAGTTTTGTTCTCAAATTTGGATATTCACTACTTGTGTGGCTGCAAAATCATGGTAAGTGAAGAATTTGTTTGTAAAATGTTGTTGTTGTGAAATTAACACCTGCTGAATTCTTCTTTCCTACTAACTATAAAAAAATTAAACATACACTTATCATCAGATTCAAAATGTATATTCATTTCTCTTCAAAAATGTATACATTTTTATTAGGATTAGAAGTATATTAAATTCTCTATTGCCTTTCTTGTACACCTACCCCTCTGCCATTTTTGTAAAGGGAAATTAATGTGGGCCAAGTCTGTCAAAATTCATGGGCCTGAAAGAGTTAAGGGAATGCAGTTCAATAAAGTAGGCAAAGTAAGTAAGTAAAGATCCCTTTTCATGCCTTAGGTGCATCAGGTATTTAGGAAGAGCGTCCCATATTTTTACAGACCAATCAGTACTGGATGGGTAATGTGGTCAGCAATACGCCAACCGTCTTTACTTTCCCAGGACAGCCATCCTGGTACCCATTTTGGGCTGGGTCGACCTGCGATGCCCCATACCATGATAAAAATCCACGCAGCCAGCTGTGGGTTTCGATCGCGGTACGTTGGATTACTAGTTGGACTCTCAAACACCTAAGCCACGGACTTGCAGTTCAAAAAGCACAAAATGTCCCGGGTGGACGATGTCGATTCTCAACTCAACAATGTCACTGTTAGTACATATTTATTTTCATTATACGGCCTGGCCATTGAGTTAACCACATGTGTCGATTACTCCTCACACACACACACAAATGGTCGACACATTCTGTTTCTGGGGACAGCTTTGATCGAGTTTGCTCTCCAGACAGTTGCAGTCCCCTGATAATGAGATTCTGTTTTCCCAGACAGTGGGCCGCCACGATCAAAACAATGCGATGGCAGCGTGTTCGAGGATGCCAAATCTTTTGGTCATTATCCAGCTCCAAGACAGCACAACCATAATACATGCTGCTCCCACACACACACAAAAAACAATTAGTTTCCTGCGTTGGAGATGCACATAGAATAGCAGTCCATGATAAAGGAACTGAACAATCCGAGAGCATTCTCAGCCATTAAAAATAACACAACTGCTCGTCTCCATTTTGAAAATCGAAGCCATTTTTCATCATACTGCATACGTTAGCCTTGTAAGTTGAGTATGTGCACGTGTGCATGCGTGTGTGTGTGTATGTGTGTGCGGGAGAGAGAGAGAGAGAAAAAGAGAGATATTTTATGAACATTATCAGTGAGTGTGAGTACGCATAAGGGACATATTTTATAAACATTATCTGTGAGTGTGAGTACGCATTAGAAACATTATATTTTATGAAAATTATTACTGAGTGTGAGTTGCAGGTGACATTTAATGATCATTTGTTAGTGAACGTGACAGGCACAAGTGCCATTTTGTGAACCTTGTCAATGAGTGTGAATAAATGACATTTTGTGAACTTCAACAGCGAGTGTGATAGACATATCTTCTTCTTCTTCTTCGTGTTCACTGGCTGTAAACTCCGGCAGAAAGTTCTGGTTGTTCATTCCCTCCTCTGGACTTAAGTCTTGGTCCGGAACCTGATTGTTCGTGCCCATGCATTTTATAGAACCGACTTACTTGTATGGAGACTGTAGGTACTTGCCTCTCAGGCAGATGCATTCTGACCTAGAATGTAGCTTCCAGCTAACTGCCTAATAGGACACTGATGTTGGGGAGGCAGTGGGTCTATCCTTGTTTTCCACAGGGATGACAGAGGAATGAATATTGAGCACATTTTAAAGGCAGATGTGATTTTATGAACATTGTCTGCAAGTGTCACAGAGGGATGCGATGCTTTATGAACATCATTCGTGATGTTCATTTTGTTCAATATCAAAGGTGAAATACCTTATGTAAGAATTCTACGTGTGTGTATAGTAACCAACTTATCGTGCCTGACTACTACTATCAACGACAAACTGCTTTTCTGGTGGCGATTGTTGGCTTTGGCGCCTCGAGCAACTGAAATACACATTTACTGTGTGCACATTTTCGTGGATTGTTCCTGAACTAGTTGTTTATTCACCAGTTTTTCATATGCAACAGTGAGGGACATTTCATTTGATTCGCACTGGCATAGAAACGGAGCAAGTATGAGGAAACCCTATTGCGGTGATGTTAATTAAAACCTCGACTAACTAACTATTTGTGAGTGACATTCGTACATATGACAATTTATGAGTGTTATTTGTGAGTCACACTAATGGATGTGACGCCTCATGAACAATGTTTATGGCAGACATATACAGATAAGATATTTTATGAAGATTATTTGTGAATGACATTGACAGATGTGGCAATTTATGAACTGTGGGTGGTTATAAACAGATGCCACAATTTATGAACTGTCGGTGATGTTATAAACAGATGCCACAATTTATGAACTGAAGATGATGTTATAAACAAATGCCACAATTTATGAACTGTCCGTGATGTTATAAACAGACGCCACAATTTATGAACATACCTCTTCCAGTCATAGCCATGGCCACGATGCTGGCACACATGTTGACCATATCGTTGATCAGATAAGGACACTTCTTCAAAATATATTTCTGGTCTGTAGGAAGAAACAGAAAGCATTAGGGCAAAGGTGGGCAAATGTGGCCCACAATCCAAGTCAGGCCCTTTGAGGAAGTTTTACCAGCCGGTAAGGCTGTGTAAAAATACTATATAATATGGCCCTACAGAGCATGCGCTCTCTTTCTCTCTCATACATACTTGCGCGTGCATGCATGCACATACCCCCACACACACAAATAGGAAAATAAAAACATACCTTTGTGTGCAGGAAAAACAATCCAAATATCAAAATTTAAAAAAAAAAAAAATTTTAAAGTCATCACCCAAACAGTGATAACCAGAAACTGATTGATGTCACAAATCTTTGATCCTGCTAGTAAAACATGTGTTGTGGATTAACTAAGACATAAGGAGATAGTGTTTGTCTGCAGACTTTGATAATAAATAAAAGGTGATGATGGTTCCTGTTCTCCGGTCAGCGAGTTTATAGACCAAAAGATTGCGGTAACCGAAATTTCTTGGCATCGGTTTGTGTGAGGACGGAATCGTGGGGAATATTCCTATCAGGTTGGTAATTCTAAATTTGGCCTGCGGACTAAAAAAAATTTTTTTTTTTTGGGTAACAGCCAGTTTTGTCTGTGAACATTATTTATGCGTGGGTAGAGAGCAATATTATTATTCATTGATGGTCCTAAAAAATACACCCACTGCTCCCCCTAACAAGCATGTCATAAAAGACGGACTAAACTCTGCACTGCTCAAACTGGTCATTTTAAACCAAAAGTGTAGATATCACAGTCTAGCTGTAAACCCCAAGACAATATGCCAACCAGCCTTTCAGAGAAAAAAAAAGAAAAAAAAGGATAAAAAGTCAATAAGTATACTTGTTCCAACGCTGTTGTCAGAGATGAAAGGTTCAATTCCCCGGTATGGTGACCCCATGTGTAACTGAGCCATCCTCCCCTGAAATCAAATCCACTTACTGTGTTAGTCTCTACTGATTTCTACAGTCAAAGTAGTGAACTCACACTCACCTAGTGCTAGAGTGTCTGGACCCAAAGGTATTCTCTGGAAGTGAGCAAGCAGTAGTGCCCTTGCTTTGACACTGTACGGAAAACACAGAGGTCGCTCTTTATTCTTCTCCTGGACGTTCTGAAGCTGCTTTATTAACTTCAACAAGGAAAAGAAGAAAACAAACAGTCAGCACAATGGTGTTGTTTAATGCAGCACTGAAGGATCCATGCAGAATTAACAGAAACATGACAAAAAAAGAGCGCTTTATTAATAACCTACCCCAGATGACATCACAGGACAGTCCAACATCTTAGAGGGTGGTACGACTGGGTTTCCTAGCTTTCTGATGCTTTTAACCACCCCAAAACATCTACAACTGGACCTAACCCTAACCAACCTACATCCCACGAGAGAGGGCAGCCTAGGTCCCACGACTGCATGCAGCCTATTTACCACCCCTTTAAATACTACTGACCCCTGACCTGTTGATTTCCCCTGTTTGGGGTAGGATATGAATAAAGCACCCCAATGAGATATGCTGATGTCAGAAGGCCAAGAATAGACGATGTCTATAATTCTTTTCCTCCTTCTCTCTGCATTCAGCAGCCATAAACTCAAGCAAAAAATTCTGGTTGTTTGTCTACTTCTGTACTTTGGTCTTGTTCCAGAGTTTTGCATGCATATCTGTTTTACAGACCTGGCTTATTCATATGCAGGCTGTTCCATGACTCTCAGGCAGATATGCTCCAAATTTGAGAGAAACTTCCCTCATTAGTAGACATGCCCCCCGTGTGGGTTCCGGGACCCAATTATGGGGAAAACAAGAATAGACTCACTGCCTCCCCAAAAGCATGTCGTAAGAGTCGACTAATTGGGGAGCTTGCTTTGAAGTCGAAGTGCATCTACCGGAGAGGCAAGGAACCAACAGTCTGTACTCATGAGAATGAGATCTGTAAAACTGATGCACACGCAACACTCAGGTTCTGGAGCAGGACTGCAGTTCAGTAATGAAATGGACGAGCAACCAGAACTTTCCACCAGAGTGTACAACTGGTGAACGCGAAGAAGAAGAAGAAGAAGAAGAAGAAGAAGAAGTAGACATGCTTGTTGGGGGAGGGGACAGTGGGTCCCTCCCACACCAATGTGGCACCAGCCCTAAAACCCACACACAGGGAACATTTTATAATCCACAAGTTTAGTCTTCTTTTTCCATACTTTAATGACACATCAAAGTACAGGATAATAATGTCTTGAAGGTCTTAGGTTCGAACTACGAACATATACTGAGCGATTAACAGCTGGTGACCCACAACAGGATTCAGAAAGGAGAAATCATGTATTGATCACAACTTCACGCTGCCTCAAATAATTGAACACCTAACGGCACGGAAAAGGGTCCTTTACTTTCTTCTTTATTTACTGCAAACAACACTGTGGTATACCATGCAAGTAGTAAGAGGTGGCTTAGAGAAGGGTTGGCGGGAGACATTACCTCATCCTGTACAAAACTTTAGATGCACAATTCAGTCATGGATATCCCTGTGTGGGTTCCAGGGCAACGTTTGGGAAAGAGGGGGTAGGGGGGGGGAGATAACAGACACATCACCCCACCCCCCAATAACTATTTTGTAAAAGTCGACTAGTTAAGGGTGAATCCTTCAAAAAGAGAATGCATCTGCCTGAGAGGCGAGGAATCAACAGTCTGCATACAAATAAGGCAGATCTGTAAAACAGATGTCAGGCAAAACTCAAATTCTGAAACAAGACCAAAGTCCAGAAGTGGACAAACAACCATAACTTTTCCATCGCTTGATGTGCTTTTGTTGAGGGTCTATGTTATACTGGAAGATGAAAGATGGAAGAAGGAAGGAAGGAAGGAAGGAAGGAAGGAAGGAAGGAAGGAAGGAAGGAAGGAAGGAAGGAAGGAAGGAAGGAAGGAAGGAAGGAAGGAAGGAAGGAAGGAAGGAAGGAAGGAAGGAAGGAAGGAAGGAAGGAAGGAAGGAAAGAGACTCAACTTACCAGAGGCAGCTCTTCATTGTCCGTAGGTCTTTCAATGATTTCAGCATTGTGCGATCGATCAAACTCAAATGAAGCAGCCAGCACCATAAGAGCACCTGAAGAAAACATAAATATAGTCTAAGTCTTTACTCAAGCTTCCAACTTCACTGCAGTCAGGTTTCCCCATACTTGCTCCGTTCCTGTGCCAGTGAAAATCAAATGAAATGTCCCTCACTGTCGCATTTCAAAAACTGATGAACAAACATGTGTAGATAAACTAAAAAAATTGAACTAAACATGAAATTCTTCTTCTCAGCGTTCCCTGGCTGCTAACTGTGGCAGAAAGTTCTGGTTGTTTGTCCACTTCTGGAATTTGGTCTTGTTCCAGAACTAGAATTTTGTGCAAACATCGGTAAACCAAGTAATGACTGTGAACCTGTCACCATGATCAGCAAGTGAAAGGGGCGAGGCCAGATAAGAGAACTATGCAGAAAGCAAAGAAGAATTTAAAAAAAAAAAGTACAGAACTGGTGTTGTGGCCACTAAATGCTGGGATTTTCTGAGGAGGGGATTCACATCCTTACAGACTGAACAGTCTGATGTGCAATGAGAATGATCAGAACATGAACTAAACTACCCTAATACAATCAATTATGGTTTGAGGTTTGAACAACGGATCAACATCACGGCACTAGGGTAGTAACCCATAAGTGCTCTGTACTACTTCTAACTCAAGTCTGAGGCCGAAGTAGCTCAGCGCAGTGCACGGGCTCCGTAGCACCGGCGAGGACCCTGAAAAATTTTGGGTAGATTTTCAATTCCAAATTTTGTGCAGGCAACGCCGTTAGGCTGCTCTTTTTGATTTTCAACAGCCATGGGATTTTTTACATGCGCAACAATACACACAGGCGTCCGATCTCACTACCCAGAGACCAGGGAAAATTACTAGAAATCCACATGAACAGAAAAAATCACAGCCTTCACCGGGGCTTGAACCGGGACCTCTAACACTCGAGGCGAACACCATACCCTGAGACCACGTAGCCCTCCATACAATCAATTATCAAGCATACTGGAGATATCGTTGCAAACTCACACTCCCAGTATCAAGATCTCCAAAATTTTCAAATATGGAATACGACTTTAAACATATTTTCTCTTATTAATCAAATAAAAATGGTGTTTCAGCCACTGTGTTGAACAGTCCTTCTGGTCAGGTGTCAATGCTAGCACACACATGTGAGTAACAGGTGAGCTGGAACACTCTAAAAAAAAAGTATACCAAACACTGCTAACATCATCAAGTGCCTTGCCAACTGGCATGGGCGATCAGCCTCTCCAATCTATAACTGCTGTGTATCAGTCCGTGTGCTGACACCCTTACATGCCATGATAAAATCACACTGTCTTTCTCTGTCTCTCTTTCCAGTGGTCACAACATGTTCTAGTTTCCCTCTTCTCAAAACATAATAAAAAAATGATGACTCTCTTTTTGATGTTTGTGATAACATAATACGCTATATATAACTTCAAAAAATATCCGTAGATGACATTTGTTAAAGTGTGCAGAGATTAGTTTATGGGTTCTGGTTATGAAAATAAATACAATTATTTATGTATGATAATTTTTAGAGTGTTAGTTGCGTATCCTTTACAGGACGTTGCAAAACCAAACCCAGTATTTTTTGGCTGTTGTAGTTTTTCTAGGCAAATTTTATGTTAAGTAGTTTGCCATTGCTTTCTGAGCGGTTCGCTCTCAGTACCACTGTTCAATAAAATTAGGGAACCGCAGTGGTGTAACGGCTAGATGCTGGCCTGTAAATCCGAAGGTTGGGTTCATGTTCTGACAGAGTCAGACTTGTGTTCAAAGATGATCTTGTCTCCCAGGCTAACCCAGCCTTAAATGGGTACCAGGTAAAGTGCCTGGGAAGTAAAGATATTGACCACATCTCGCACCTAGCACCAACTGGTCTTTGAAAGATAGGTTAAGCCACATACAACCAAAATGCTTGAAGGCGTGAAAAAAGGGTGCTTTATTTGTTTATAGAGTGTATTCAATGTTATTACCAGAAAACTCCTGCTAGCAAATCTTTAACCGCTAAATATTTATGATGGCATGTAGCAGACCTTGAAAAGCCTTTTAATATTTATGCGGCCATGTGCTACAGCATCTGCCTCATATTACGAAGACAATAAGTTCATTTTAAACTTTCAACCCTGCACATTCTGGGGCTCCAATTTGTGGGGGGAAAGAATAGACCCACTGCACCTCTGACAAGCATGTTGTAAAAATCAACTGATTAGGGAATGTCAAAGCACATCTGCCTAAGGTGAGGAACCAACACTCTGCATACCAATAAGCCAGATCTGTAAAACAGATGCATAGGTAAAACTCAAGTTCTGGAACAAGACTTAAGTCCAGAAGTAGACAAACAACCAGAAATGATTAATGGAGTTTACACCTGTGAATGCTAAGAAGATTTTTAGACTTGCATTATTCAGTTCACAAGGGCAATGTTTTAAAGATTCTTAGGTGTTGTTAACAGCTAAAGCAGTCCTTACTAACCCGAGTGGATCAGTCACAGTTAACAATGGTTTGGACATGTATGAAGAATAGGAGAAAATTGGCCACAATGGCAGGCAAAGGAGGCTAAGAACCAGGGAACCAGACCTCTAGTGCGACCCAGGGTGCGCTGGGAAGACAACATCCGACAGTCCCTAACTGACAGAGGACTGGAATGGAACAAATCCAGAAAGAAAACTGCTGATAGAGAAGTCTGGCGATCTCTCTGGCAAACTCTACACCCCAAGGTAGAAAAGCAGCAACTAAGTGAGTTAAGAGCTAAAGCGCATGTGCTTTGTGCGGCTCTCACAAAATCTTGCTAGCCAATCTGCTGACAGAGACTAAACAAAGTGGGACAAAACCATGTCCAATAAAGTCAAGAGTCCCCACTCTAAACATATCTGAAGGTCTCTGTGATGAGGTAGTCGAGCTGTTTACCTTACATTCTGAAGTCGTGGATTCGTTTCACAGATGTCATTCAGTTTATGAGTGCAATTTTCCGGGGATCGTTGCTGGAGCTATAGAGTTTGTGTTTTATGACCAGCTGCTCTGTGAAGAGAGACCAAGTCATATAGGATAACCTGCGGTAGAGAAGTCGATCCTCTCAGCTTTAACAAGTTTAACTTTCACTTCAATCATATCTTCTTCAGGCAAAAAGTGTGACAGGCCAGGTTGTCTGTGATGTAATAAAGATGTAATCATGACTTACGTTTGAGAATCATGTTGGGAGTCTTACTGATGAAGTAATAAAACAGTCTAGACGTGTCCAGCAGAACTTGATCTCCGCTGAACTTGATGGAACGATACCACCATATACCCTGGAAAATATCAACATTCTATATCACAAACTATCAGTACAGATAGGAGCAATAACATCATATACCCTAGATAGTATCAACATTCTATTTCAACAAACTACAATACACAGATAGAGCCATTCTATTTCAACAAACTACAGTACACAGATGGAACCATTCTATTTCAACAAACTACAATACACAGATGGAGCAATATCATCATATACCCAGGAAAGTATCAACATTCTATACCAACTAACTACAATACACAGATGGAGCAATATCATCATATACCCAGGAAAATATCAACATTCTATTTCAACAAACTACAATACACAGATGGAGCAATATCATCATATACCCAGGAAAGTATCAACATTCTATTTCAACAAACTACAATACACAGATGGAGCAATATCATCATATACCCAGGAAAGTATCAACATTCTATTTCAACAAACTACAATACACAGATGGAGCAATATCATCATATACCCAGGAAAGTATCAACATTCTATACCAACTAACTACAATACACACATGAAAAAATAACATCGCATACCCAGGATAGTATCAACATTCTATACCAACAAGCTACAATAAACAGCATATTCCCCCCCCCCCCCCCCCCATGTTTTCTAATCACTGCACTGCATCTTAATAAGCATGTCGCAAAAGGGGACTACAGATTTACTGAAATCAAATGTGTTGGGCCAAAAAAAGGCATACAGCTGTAAACTACGACACATCATGCTAACTGCCCTTTCAAGGAGAAACACAGAGGAAGAAGAAGAAGAAGATAGCGTCATAATCTTATCCCATAGCTACAGAGATGGGTCATTGGCAAAAGTAACTAAGTCTTCCACCCCTATATAATTCTGAATTATTTCTTCCTTTTCTTCTGTTACATGAATCCAGTTTCTCTCACTGTTACTAAGTTATTCTGTCCCATAGATGTATTATGTTAACTCTTTAAGAATCACTGACTGTCATTCTAAAGTACACAATCTTTGGAACTGAATAAATGTATCGGGTTAAAAGTATATGCTTACCACCACAACAGGCAATATGACCATGAATACCAAGCCATAAATTGCCAGCACCTGAAATCAGATAAAATAATGGCATGTGAAATAAAGCACAAAATAATTCAGGACAGCGTACGAACACGTTAAAGGTCTCTATAAATAACTAGTGAAACATACAAGTATGGTGCTGGATAGGAATACATTTATAGCCGTCATTTTGTCGTAAAAGTAGTCAGTGGACACAGAATTACAGGAGTGCGGAGAAACAGTAGGAAGCAGAAGTCCTGAGAGAATAAAGCATGTGGTATTAAAGAGGAGAAGAGAATAAGACAAAGTGGTAGAGAAAGAGCAGCAACAGGGGAAAGAATGCACCAAAAAAAAAAAGGACGGAGGAGAGACAGAACAAGCAGAAGGGAGAAGTCTAAGAGGAACAGTGAAGAAACAGGCAGATGAAGGACTGAGAAGTAATGTAAAGAAAAAGTGTAAAAACAGGAAAGACATGGAGGAAGAAAGATAATAAGTACAGACTGCAGAGTTATCTAAAATAAATTTTTTTTAAACACAAACATAAAACAGAACCCATGAGACTTGGAAACATTACTTAATAACCTAACGTAACTGAAAACCAAGTACAGTGCAGACCGCTTCAGGTGATCTTTGATATGGCAAACTTCTGTTTACTTCTTCGCATTCACCGGCTGTAAACTCCGGTGGAAAGTTCTGGTTGTTCACCACTTTTGGACTCTAGTCCTGTTCCAGAAACTGAGTGTTGCATGCACATCCATTTCACAGGTCTGATGCATTTGCATGCAGACTGTTGGTTGCTTGCCTCTCAGGCAGATGTACACTGACTCCAAAGGAAGCTCCCAATTAGTCAACTCCTATGACATGCTTGTTGAGAAGGCAGTGGGTCTATTCCTTTTTTCCCTATAATGGGGCTCCAGAACCCATACAAGGAAATTTCTGTAGTCTTCTTCTTCTTCTTCACGTTCACCAGCTGTACACTCTGGCGGAAGGTTCTGGTTGCTTGTCCACTACTGAACTGCAGTCCTGCTCCAGAATCTGAGTGCTGCGTGTGCATCAGTTTTACAGATCTCATTCTCTTAAATACAGACTGTTGGTTCCTTGCCTCTCCGGCAGATGCACTCCGACTTCAAAGGAAGCTCCCCAATTAGTCGACTCTTACGACATGCTTTTGGGGAGGCAGTGGGTCTATTCTTGTTTTCCCCACAATGGGGCCCCGGAACCCACACAGGGGATTTCTGTAGTGAAAAACAATCTGTTCATCCGCAGCAATTTTTCTTGCTTTAACTCTTTTCTGAATAAAAAGAATTTCTGATAAGAGGAACTATTTATTGGGACCCCAGTGAGTTCTCATTATCAGGTCTGCACTGTATAATTAAACAGTAGATACAAGACTCATTAAATCTGAAGTTTCTGTGTGCACAAACAGAAAATAGTCAACAGAACTACAAAACACCTTCAGACACAAAACACACATCAGCTCGTTACCTACAGACTACAAGACACCATGTTTTTACAAAACAATTGTCTGCTTGGGGTTTGTTTTCCTTAAATTCAAACTTGGCAGATAACTTCTCTCAAAAGCAGAATCAATATCATTTAAGGTATCTCAGAAATCAAGAAACTAAGTCCCAATATTGAGTCTGGGGTCCCTCAAAAAGCATGTTGCAAAAGACAGGATGTTTCCCGTTGAAGTTGAAATGCATCTGCCTGAGAGGTGACAACCAACAGGCTGCACACAAATAAGTCAGATCTGTAAAATGAATGTGCCCTCCCCCGTATGGGTTCCGGGGCCCTATTGTGGGAAAAACAAGAATAGACCCACTGCCTCCCCAAAAGCATGTCGTAAGAGTCGACTAACTGGGTAGCTTCCTTTGAAGTCGGAGTGCATCTGCCTGAGAGGCAAGGAACCAGCAGTCTGCATTCAATTGAATCAGATCTGTAAAACTGATGCACACGCAACACTCAGGTTCTGGAGCAGGACTGCAGTCCAGAAGTGGACGAACAACCAGAACTTTACACCAGAGTGTACAGCTGGTGAACGCAAAGAAGAAGAAGAAGAATGTGCCCTCAACTCTAGAGCTGGAGTTCTGTGTCCAACTAGCCATGTGTTGGAGTACACTTGTTCCTGCAGCGAGGTACCATCAAGATTCTATCCCTGGTGTGGTAAATATAGCTATCAATTATTACATTGTCTAGTATGTCCTCTTGGCCATGAAAATAGAGAAGAAAGGCATTGGAAAACTTTGTGACAACTGGAAAGATCTGTGGAAAGAGGGGAAGAGGCAGACCAAGAGAGATGATGCTGGATGGGCTGAAATGATGGCACGGAGGGATATCATCAAGAGAGCTGTTCCAGTCAACCAGGAATCCTGATCAGTGGAGATGCATGAGCGCCTACATCTTTTGGCAGGGCACATGATGATGATGAGTTGTCCTCTCTGAGAAGATAAGTCTGAGGAGAACAGCACTGCGGGGAGATACCAGGGGATCTGGCCGACGTTCAACATTCAAGGGAAAGGCGAGACAGATGTACAATAAGACAGTTACTGGTGGCACTGAAATTGGAACTCTTCACTTGCTGCTGACGATGAGGACAGAGTGCTTATGGGAGTATCCCATACGCTGTAATGTCGATTCTTAACTTAACATTTAGCATGTCCTCTCACCAGTACTATTCATCAGATATGTCAACCAAATTTGTAAAAATATTGGCATCAGACAGGGCGCCACAGAGAGCAATGTTACACAGATACAACAGTAACAGAGGTGGACCATGCAGAATATGGACTGCAGAGCAGAAATATAAGAGGCATGGAAAAGCATTGTATACGAAGCGAACAGAAGGGTCCGTTCGAGAGATCTCTTCCTGCCCTGACATCGCGAGGAATTCCAGGAGTAAGGAAAAGAAGAAGAGTGTGTCCTCTTGTTTCAACCACTTGTCACAGAATTGAAAGATGTTCACTAATCACTATTCCACCATGCCATATACACCACGAAGGTGAAAAGCAAAGCCATGAACATCTCTAAAGGCTATAAAAAGAAGATATTTTTAGTATGTTCTTAGTTTTAAGGCAGACTGTTGAACTTCACTTACCCACATGGAGTTTTCTCTTTCCACAATCCATTTAGGTAACGCAATGCCAAAACGGGTGGCTGAAATCAAATACAAGTAAACATTTAAAAATGAAACAAAGAAAGTCTCCACTGTTTTGTAGAATATTCTTCTTCAACTTTGTTTACCCTTAAAAGAGTGGTTGGGAGGTTATGTTGTGGTGGACAACAATTTGCCGCCCGGACCAAGCAAGACAAACAGCCCAAATAGCAGCAGACCAGTGGAAAGTATGCACCAATAAGATATGGTCATGCATACCAAACACGCCACAACAGGAAAGACAATTAAAAACCACACATAAACAACAGACCCAACTATAATGAGGCCCTCAGTGCACATGGAAGAGTCCAAGTTTATTATTTTCTTTTTCTCTATCAAGTCAAGTTTGTGGTTTACTGCTAGGTTGTGATATCTGCGCCTTTCGGCCCAACACATCCAATTTAGCAAATCCATTTACGACATGCATAAGGAGCTATGGGTTTATTCTGTGTTTTTATTTCTCCATAAAGTGGGGCCCAAAGAACCCATGTGAAGAGAAATGCAGAAAAAAATAGTTATATCAATTAAAAAGATCACATCAAAATGAGTAATGAAAGTAAAATATTTAACCAAGTCGATCAATTCAAATATTTCAGGGTAATTTTCTTCTTCTTTGCTTTACCAAAACTGGCATAAACTCCTGGCTGTTCTTTCACTTCTGCACTTTTGTCCAGCTCCAGAACTTGAGTTTTGCATGACATCCATTTTACAGATCAAGCTTCCCCGTGTGGGTTTCCCGGGGCCCCATTGTGGGGAAAACAAGAATAGACCCACTGCTTCCCCAAAGAGCATGTCGTAAAAGAGTCGAATAATTGGGGGCTTTCTTCGAAGTTGGAGTGAACTTGCATGACAGGCAAGGAACCAGCAGTCTGCATACAAAACAATTCAGATCTGTAAAACAGATGTAAATGCAACATTCAAGTTTTGGAACAAGACTACAATCCTGAGGTGGATGAATAACCAAAACTTTCTGCTGGAGTTTACAGCCAGTAAACGCAAAGAAGAAGAAGAAGAAGAAGACAGATCAGACTTATCTGTGTGCAGACTACTGGTTCCTCACCTCTCAGGCAGATGCACTAAACAGAAAATAGCATACCTCTGTTGGCCAGATTAAGAACAGGACAGGCCAAGTAAGTAGCTTTCTGTTGCAAATATAAAGACATAAGAGGCAGCAATGAAATATGTGTTATAAATTACCTTCAGGACCATCTGGATTCCCATACTCTTCCCAGTTCTTCCTGGATTCTTCATCTGTCAACCTATAATCACAAACAATGATATGTAATAAAAAAACTAAAAGTGCTGAAAATTGGCAGCAGTTTGTATCCCGTGTGGGTTCCGGAGCCCCTCTGTGGGTAAATACATGAACAGACCCACTGCCTGCTCAAAAGCTTGTTGTTAGAGTCGACTAATTGGGAGTTTCCTTAGAATGTCGGAGTACATCTGCCCCAGAAAGAAGAAGAAAAAGAAGAAGGCGACTAAACAGGGGTGTTTCCTTTGAAGTTAAAGTACATCCGCCCGAGAGGCAATGAACCAACAGTCTGCATACAAATAAGCAAGATCTGTTGAATGGATGTGCATGCAATGGGTCCACTCTAAGGCGCAAAGGGGCTATTCCCCCCCCCCCCCCCCACTCCCTGTATACATGATTTTTTAAAAAAGAAAATATTTACTGCACTCTCTTAGACAGTCCAGAAAGCAATGGCAAACTACTGGACGTAAATTTGCCTAGAAAAACCACACAACAGCCAAGGGCTGTTGGGGTTGGTTCTGCAATGTCTTGTAAAGGATACACAACTAACTAACCTCTCAGACAGAGCATGACATGGTTATATTCTTTTGTTTTTCAAAGCACAGGGGTAACGGCTTGGTGGGCACTAACATGAATACCTCATGT